AACCGACACAATATGTAAGTAGAGCAGGGAACGAAAGCGCGATGCTTACGGCGCAGAGATATACAACTATTCGTACTCGATGGATGTCCATGTTGCGTCTCCAAAATTGAAGGCGCGATGGCGCGAGCCGAGGACTCGTAATACTCCGCTCTTCGCTGCGAATGAAAAGTCATTCAGATTTGGGCGGAGAGTTAAAAAACGGAAGTCGATTACGTGTTTCCTATCTTCGGTTGCATTCCTCACGTATCCCTTGAAGCGCCACTATAAAAGAGAACCGACACAATATGTAAGTAGAGCAGGTAACGAAAGCGCGATGCTTACGGCGCAGAGATATACAACTATTCGTGCTCGATGGATAATTCATTCGTCTCTCGAAGCACCCCATTCAATGGGCTTCTATAGACGAGGAATGAATTAAAGCACAACGCTGCGGCTCCCTGTTGCCCATTCAAAATTCCACAAGGAAAAGGAATCATACGACGGGAAGTCTAAAAATCACCCCCTGAAGAAGATAGAAGTGTTCTCTATTAATTAAATGACAAAAATACAAATTAACTTAAGTGTCAATACAATACAATGAAAATAATTTAGTTTAATAACTTAATTTGTATGATCGAACTTACACTTGATCTGTGCTCAAAAAAATTGGTAATATCTCAGCCAGGAGCTGCTTTCAAAACTTCCCGTTGTGTAAATTGTTCTCTATGTAAGATTTTGAAAAGAGAGCCTGTGACTTTTTCTCTACTTCAGACCCTCGTCTACTTGTCAATTTAAAATGTGAAGAAACTAACGTCAAAATTTACATTATTAGTCGAAAATTTCATGTACAACCTCTATGAAAGGCTCATCCCATTGTACAGTGGGATTTACTGCGAGGATACGAAATGACAGAGAGCCTATCTTTGTTTACACTTCGAGGACATCTCTTAGGCATTAATAGTTGCTCTACAGATCATGCTCAGCACATCGCGATATCAAAACTGAAGCACAAAAGATACTCACATCCTACGCCTGTATGCAACTATGCATGCCTATGAAATATCTTTGTAGCATAAACGAAGAATTAAAAGCGATCCGCCATTTTGGATCCTCGTATAGTACTGCCGTCCTAAGAAAGAACGCAGTATGAACATTCGAGAGTTTCCAAATTTCCCTTGATAAAACATGTTTTTTTGACGACATTCACGCACATATTTTTCTTTAAAATCTTTAGATATTTTAGATTAAATTGCGTACAAAATAGCCCGAAAATTTCGGGGGGAAATATTGACGGTGAAACTACCAAACCACGTATCTCGTTTGCGGTGTTTAAAACTCTACGCTCACATTTTATTTTTTTGAAGTAGACCAAATCAATATCATTCTTTGAAATTTTCACAGAATTTTCTCCGCACGAAGAGGAAAAATCACAGAAATTTTCAAGACTGGACGTTGAGTAGTTTTTCATTTAAGAAATAAAGTATGACAGGAAGTCTGCGACGTCGCAAACCGAGATACGTGGTTTGGTAGTTTCACCGTCGATATTCAATATTTTCCCCGTGAATCGGTTTTATCGAAGGAAACTTGGCAACGTCTGAAGGCTCATACGGCGTTCTTCCTTAGCACGGCAGAGTAGAACCCGCCGGTGTTGGAGCTGCGCCTCGGGCCGTGGGTGAAGTGGCGAGTGGCGAGTGCCTGGGCAGTCAAAACGCCTTCACTCCGTGCGTATGCAACACGGACATCCGTGGAGCCGAAATAGTTGTATCCATGAGTTAAAATGTGTGTTTGTCGCATTTGACACTAAGAGAGAACGCTTTGCTTGATCTTCTGGCAACGTAACTTAATTCCAGCGGTACCCTCTGATGAGGTAGACTTTTCCAAGGCAGACAGCTCACAAAACACTTTACTAGAGTACTTAGTGTCACCAACTCAAATGTTTCTCAGGAAAAAGTACTGAAAAGAGAAAATATTTACTACTTCATCGGAAATACCGATTTTAGGCAACTCAAAAAAATGGGCGGCTATCCAGTTTCATGGTTTTTGTTCCCCAGTTCAAAATACCTCGTGCCAACAAGTTTTAAGAATATTCACGGATTCATATCATAAAATATAAATTATTCCTGAAACCAAAAATCAGCATCTGAAAGTCAGTGAGAACGGAAATACACCAGCTCAGCAACTTGTAAACGCCTAATGACCTTTCATTTGTCATGGCGCACCTATTCCAACTTGGTCTTTTACAATGTCTTTAGTAGAGAGTACTTACAAAGTAATTGTCCTTTGGCAACAAAACGCTTTTCCTTAAAGTAAGTTCTTCGCCCGCTGCGCAGTTTTTTTGTGTTCTTTGAACCTATTTTACTTTTTCCGAGTTGGTGTGTTTTTGTACTCACTGATTCATATGGCTAATATGGCATTCTCATGTTACTAATTGCTTCAGGATCATTTAATTGGAGCACTAGAGGATTTAGCTAAAAAAAAAAAGGAAGTAATGATGAAGTATTTAAAAGAACCCGGCTTACAGTTCTCGCATAAAATCCCAGGCCTCAACGAAAACGAAGTGTAAATTTCTTCCCAAGCTTTAAGTATTTGTGTTATCAACCCTGGTAAAAATTGGCAATACGAGCTGCGTTTCAAAATACCATAGGAGTTCTTGTAGCCAACCAAAGAAGGCTATTGAAAATCGTATAGCTGGCTGTAGAAAGCGGAGCAAATCTTATAACCGGGCTATACGAAGCTATAAAAAAGTATACAGTCGGGCTATAGTTCCTATCGCCGGGCTTTACACTTTATCGCCATTGGCTATAAAGGCTATAAGAAATTGTGTAGAACTTCATGTGCTTTGGAAAACATTAAGTTTTATACGGAACTACCTTAATATTTACAAAACGCACATTATATTTTCCTTTAAAACATATTTTTTTTTTCTTCAATTAAAATGAGAATAGTCCATACAAAGTGCGCAAACATTTCAAAATCATGAGTTGAAAAACGCTGACTCCGCGAGATTAAATATTAGAGCCTAACACAAAGCGAAGCGGCGACGCACTGGCGCCTACAAACCTAACAGGGATACTTCGCGCATTGCGCAATGCGTGAAGTATCCCTGTTAGGTTTGTAGGCGCCAATGCGCGTTTCGCGCTCTCTGACCGCCCGCCGCGGGCTGCGCCGCAGCGTGCCACGGCGTCTGAAGCAACTATTGCACACCAGAGGTATTGCACTTTATCATTAGAAATTGAAGGCGCTCCAACATATTAAGAATGACAAGCATCATTCAAAAGGACGGAGCTTTCCTCGCAAAATAAATCAAGATGCTACGGCACAAAAAGAGAGCGGTAGTCCAAAAACTAACTAAGTCCTAGTATCCGTATTTAGTAACGTATAGCATAAACTTTATCGTCTGGCTGTTGCTTAATCACCATCGGCTATAAAAGGCTATAAGAAATTGTAAAACCGGCTACAGAAGCTATTGGAAATCTTACAGCCGGCTTTAGGTCTATAGTATTTTGGAACACACATTCTACTGCCAATTTTTATCAGGGAAACAACCCTCTCAAACAAATTCACTGATTGTACCAAATGTAATATAGATTGATTTCAATAACCACGTTCCTCATGGGTTTTTTGCGAGAGGGAAGTTTGAAATTACTGTTCATAATATAAGCCACGTCTTCATTGCGCTGTTTCAAAATCTCATCTTTTATTTTAACTATTCAGGAGGAATTCAACCAACATTTCGTTTAAAATTTTATGGAAATAATCTTTACACGGGACGGAAAAATTTCTATAATTCGCGAGCGGGGGAGTTGGTTGGTTTCTCTCCTAAAGGTTAAATTTGACATGAGATTTTGAAACACTACAATGTAGAAGTGCCTATTTTGCTTAGCTCCACCCGCTCATTCAATGGCATGGCGTACTCTCCGATAAATCGATGAATCCAATAATTTAAACCTATGGAAGAGGGTCGATTAATTAACAGGGTTTTCGCAACGTACATCTTAATGATCGATTCTTTACCATAGCTTTAAATTGGGATAAATCGATAATCGATCATTCTCGCCTCGCCACTGCGTTCATTGCTCGCTTATGAGTTTTCGAGGTTTTCAATGTGCTTGACGACATGGACATACAGAAGATCCACAGCAAAAATGTCCACAAGCAGACAGTCTACCTTTAGTCTTAACCTAGACTTCTTAATGGACCACTAGACAAGGTACGAATTTCAGCATTCTGATACATGTTTCTTAGTTAAAATTTCACGTAGAATACGACGCGCACAACGAAAATTACCGAAATCAACTCCTGCCAAAGATATTTAATGATTCTTGATGCGTGAATTCAAACCACCCGCTTATGAAAACTCAATGCTCTACGTGATTCACATCGCGCGCTAAACGTTATCATGACAGTGTCTGCGATATAAAAATCCGGCAACCTCAATCTTGACGCTTTAGCTCAGCTGTAGCAAATTGCTTATAGTTTGAACAACACATGGTGAGACATGAACATTACTCGATTGAGGAGCTTGTTGAAACCATTGTAGTGCGCGATTTGACTCACGTAGAGCTTTGAGTTTCTTGAGAGCGGGCAGTTCTAATTCCTCGTAACCAATGTGAAATAAAAACTTTAATATCTTCGTTTGGAGTTTGTTTCATTAGTTTTCGTTGCGCGAATCGTGCTCTACGTACAATTCTGGTTAGGAGACATGTATCAGATTGCTTAAATTCGTACCTTGTCTAGTGGTCCATTGTAGACATTTTTACTGTAGACCAAAAAATGTGGATATTTTTTCGTAGACCTACTGTCCGTGATGCTGCTTGACGTGTTTTCCGTGAAATTTTGATGAGAGCACATGTGTGGTGGTGCCTAATTTGTTACCCTGCCTGGTGGCCGATTAATATATGTAGATAATTGCGGTGGTATAAATTATGAATATGGGGCTGTATGCCAATGGCACGGGCAAATCCACGCGACGAAGGAGGTGGACTGAAGAAGGTGTCTCAAGCCTGGGCGCGCGGCGATCAGCTGATTGTTGCTTGATGCTACAAGTACACAGCGCCCGTCGCCGATTGCTTAATACCCATCAGATGCTTTAACCCCTCCATTCGGCCCGCGCCGCTCCAGCCCAAGTAGTAATCGCTGATTATTTTACAGTACATAGCAAAATTTCAGTCAGTGAACAGTGCTCATAATATTCGGGATAATCCAAGATGTAAGTGGCTTTGTTTATGGTGTCGGTTCATTTCGTGCAGCTCTATACTTTTTATGTATTTGATTCGAATTTTAGAATACCTATCGGTCCTGAAATCTTGTTGCTTCTTCTTTTGAGTTTTTTTTTTTGTAAAAAAAAACCGGCTAAAAAAATTTTAACATTCTCATAAGGGTACGCGAAAAGATGGTAATCAGATTTTCTCGTATTGTTTTATGTGTTTTTTTTTTTTTTTACACTGAATTGAATAGAGTTGAGCAATCATTTCACATACGGATTGCAGATTTTCCAAATATATTTTAGTTTTTAACTGAGAACTACTCAAAAATCACACTCGAAAATTGCTGCAATTTTTCTTGCCAAACAAAGATTTTAAGCAAAAATGTTGTAGGTTCCAAAAAACCAAAATAGGAGTTGATATTTTCAAACCCTGAAACATAAATGAGACAATTTTGCTTAACAATATCCATATCATCCCCCAACAAATATAAATTGGTTTTTTTCAGCAATATCACAAACAATTAGGCATACGAATCAAAAGCCCCAAGAAAAATTGAGCAAGTTTTCATCGATTTCAGCTGGGCAGATTTTTAAAATAACGTGGCTATTCTACGAACACCTATACTGCCGATCGATCGGTTTGGTTTTTGCGTGGAGCATTCCTGAAACTGTTCATTTCATTTTTTGTGTGTGCGAAAACAGTGTATACAGCAGTCATTCGTATCGACGATTAAGGAATTCTACTTAAGGGCGGGGAGAGGGCCGTATAGTCTGCGCCGCGCCGCGATTGCGAAGGTGTGGGAGAATTTCAAAAATTTTACGACAATTTTATTTGTTGACAGAATCTTGTCAAAAAATCTTAGTGAAATGTGACAAGCAACTCAAAAGCGGGTCGAATTATGTCACATATGCACCGGCAAAGATTGGGTGACCGGGCACAGTACCTACACATGATCTTTTTTGTCACTCGACCGACAAATAGGAACCGTTCATAAAACACGTTACACTTCAGGAGGATACACGTGTTCTGCCGTGATAAGGAAAAACGCCGCATGAGCCTTCAGACGTTGCCGTATCTCTTTCAATAAAGAATAAATTTACCGGGGATATTGCTAACATTTTTCCTTAAATCTTTCAGACAATTTTGCCCGCTATTTAATCTAAAATATCTGAAAATTTCAAGAAAAAATAAGCATAATTTTTCTAAAAAATACATGCGTTATCCGGAGAAATTTGGCAACTCTCGAATGTTCTTACGGCGTTCTTCCTTAGCACGGCAGAGTTGCGGTACTACCGAAATAAATTGGAAATGTCCATGTCATCCGACAAATTGATGTAGAACCACAATTTTAGGGGATAAGCCCTGACACTGCTTTTCAGCGTAGTGTCTGGTGGGAACCGAAAATCAATAATTCTCCGTTATGAAACTTCATGCTCCTACAAGCTTATGTGCAAATCTGCTGTTATCCACAAATCGAGGTACGCCCTTACGTCGGAGAGCGACAATTTAAGGGGATGAGCCTCAGAGAGCATGGGTTTATATGTAAATTAGGGCTCACGTGAAAATTGAGATACTCCCTTACGCCACACAATGGAATGAGCTAATAGAAGATGGTGGTCGGACCCGAAATTTTCGACTAGAACTAAAAATTTCGGAACTAAATTTTCAGACGGATTAGTGGTGCGGGTGGGTGGGTGGGTTGGGTTGGGGGAGGGGGGGGTTTCTCCCAGAGGTTGAATGTCATCTTAAAATCTTACCATCTGGCACCTACAATGTCCTGAGTCTAGTTTAGCGGCGTATTATGTTTGTAAAGATACTGAGTCAACTCGTTTTTTATGGTTCATTTATCAAATGACGTGGTGGTAAATTGAAGAGAGAGGGTGTAATTACGCAGGATCTATATGAACTTTGATTCAAGGCTAATGAGTATCACTAGAGTGCATGTGAATCCAGGTTGACAAGGTCCATCGATACGAAGTTATGGTCCTTTCGCTTCATTTGTAAAAAGGGTTTTTACAAGAGCCCCTGAGAGGAAATTCTGGAAAATGGGGTTTACAAAGTAAGTTTCAAAACCGGCATCAATTCGGCTAAATTTAGTCGAATGGAAGATACTTTCGCGGCTATTGTTTACAATAAAACGGCATCTGCTATTAATTCCCCCAAAGGATTGATAGCAGTGGTGACTGCTAGAAAGAACTATCGCATTTTGCTCATTATTGCTAAATGCAGCCCAATTAGTATAGCTAAGGGCATAAGTTAGCACCATCCCGGCAGGTTTTGAGTTTTATTTAAGGTATCGTATACTTTTTGATCTTCGTGGTGGGAATGCGGCACTAAAGTAGACGTTCTGAAAACATTGAGCCTCCCGGAAGAATAAATTGAACTCGAAAATATTTTTTTGACACGAAACGCTTGTCCGAACCGTTTCTGTTATGACCCCTCAAAGGCGGACGCGACAGACAAAATGTGCAACATCGCGAACCGAAGTACGCCAATTTTTATTCTCCTTTCCGTAATGTAATTTTCAGTTACTGCCCATAGTTTTCTTGCCACCTGTTCCTCTGCCATTTTTCTTCAATCGATATTGAGAAAATTACATATAATACAGGGATTCAGTTGATGTTAAAATCGAAACAAGAAAGCTGGGATTCCACGATCAAAACGGTGATTCACAGTTGGGCCCTTCCATCGAATTTTGCTCAGCGTGATCGGCCAGATATCGATTCATCACCCTATTCCTTGAAAACCTACGAGAGGTACCAAAAGCATTTGATCCATTTTGGAAATTCCCTTTGCATCCATCACTTTTGAGTTACAAACAACACAAACTGCGGGTCAGTTTTGGTTTCACTCTCACAGGTGGATCCAGACACTTCGAACGGGAAAAGAAGGCGAAGGGCGGGGGGGGGGGAGAAAATTTTTGAAATTTTAAATAATTTAATTTGAGTCATGCATAATTACCAAATATACTGCCGTGTTAAGGAAGAACGCCGTATGACATTCGGGAGTTGCCAAATTTCCTTCGATAAAATGCTTATTTTTAAGGAAAGTTATGAATACTCTTCTTTGTAATTTTCAGGAGCGTTAGGACAAATTGCAAACAAAATCATCTGAAAAATTGGTAGAAAAATATTTGCAAGTTTACTAGGAAATCTGTGTTTAATCAAAGGAAATTTGGCATTACCTGAAGGTTCATACGGCTTTTTACCTAGCTTGGCAGTACAAGTGTTCTTCCGTCTTCTTTCCTCCGTTCCTTCCTTCTTTCTACCTTCCCTTAATTTTTCTTTCTCCTTTCTTTTAGGCGAACGAAAGGGGTGGCGGGCTGACTATCTTTTCCGTACAAAGTACATTTATGGTAATTTTCCGATTATCGTTTCCGCAAAAAAATCATTTTCGCACAGATGATTTTCTGTAGTACGTGGCAACGTCGAGAAAAATATGAGGCATATTTAAGAAACACGAATGATCGAAGATTGAAAAAATTATTGGTGTTGCCAGATGTTTGAGATCTGATTTGTGCCACTGAAAAACAAGTCCGGCCATGGGAGCCACAATTACGGGCTACATAGACATACCGTCCGTTCCGGGCTCAAAGGCCGAAAATTTCGGCTGCTGGAACCGTAGCTTCGGCCTCTGAACCCGGAGTAATCGAAGCTAGGCCTCCAGCAGCCGGAATTTTCGGCTTTTGAGCCCGGAACGGACGGTATGTCGATATAGCCCGTAATTGCGACTCCCACGGCCGGAGTTTTTTTTTCAGTGCGGAAATGATTTTGTGCGGCAGCGATAATCTGTAGAGTACATAGAGTCGTAATTTAAATAGGAGAGCTGGCGCCATGTTCTGTTCGACGAGTTCCGAGCCCGGTGTGCGCCGAGCTTCGGTGACTTTTTCGACACATGTTCGATCCAAAATGGCGGTGTGGAATACATAGTAATTCCTGAAAAAAAAAAAAAAAAAAAAAAAAAAAAAAAAATATATATATATATATTTGTTTACACCGGAAAGCAGGGTACCCGCATTGAAAAAGCATTGAAAACAATCGATCATGTATCGAAAAAGTGACCTTGCGTCAGCGTCACTCAAGAGTCTCGGAATTCGGGACCTGGAAAATTCTTAAAAGTGGCGCCAGCTTTTCCACTTATATTACGACTCTATGTACTCTACGCGATAATCGGAAAAATTACCACAAATGTACTTTGTGCGGAAAAGATATTCTGTCGGGGGGCGTAACCCTCCCCTGAATCCGCCTATGCTCCTCTTATTAATAGAAAGTAATGAAGGAACAAAAATATATTTCTGGGCGACCTACCGTTGAGTGATTGAGAAAACAAAAAACTTCTCCTCGGTCGAGAATATTTCCACGTCTCCGGCCTTGGCCCCGCGCAAACGAGCCGAAAGTGCTCCCCCTTGCTCCTCTTTCTCCGTCCGGGTGTCATTCACCTAAATTTTGTCAACTTTTTCGGCGGACCCGCCGCACGCGAAGGTGACAAAAGGAGAGCAGCCTCAAAGTCATGTCGCGCCCTTGTAATAGTTTGTGACCGACTCCGTTATAAAATTCCGTCTACGTCACCGCCACGCCACCGCCCGAACTCCGCCACCCACTCATCGCGGGCAAAATATCGACGATCGATAGATCGATCTACGTCATGCCGATGCCTCAACGCAATCTCTTTCATCCACTCATCGCGTGCAAAATATCGTTGATCGATAATGGAGAATTCGCACGCAAAAATTGTATTGCTTCATCTGAGAGTGCCTACCGAGCTGAGTTCGCGGTATTTTTCATAATTTTTTTCTGACGTGGGAAATTGGAGGAAAATAGATTCAAAAGTGAGAAAATGTGCCGCCTAATGACGCCATCTGGTGGCATTTTCCATTTAAATGCATGTATTTTAGCAGAATAGGTTATTTCGTCATACTTTCTCCATTAATTGCTCAATTTAGCAACCAAGAATATCTTTGCGCTCAGATTTCCTAGTAGTATCATTTTAAACATGAAATTCACAAAATTTAAGACACCTGCAAAATCTCTATTTTATTCACTCATCATGGGCAAAAATCGACGATTGATAGATCGATCTATTTCATGCCGATGCCGCAGCGCAATCCCTTTAATCCACTCTTCACTGGCAAAATAGCAGAGATTCAGTGGAGAGGCGTGAATGATCGATTTTCGATATGTTCCCATTTGAAGCCGTGATAAAGAGTCGATTATTAAGGTGTTCGTCGCGAACACCCTGTTTATCGATCCTTTTTCATAGCTTTAAGTGGCAGATAAATCGATAAATCGCAAAGCACGCCATGCCACAGCAGAGATCGATAAAGTGATCCACGATAGCCCGCAACACGATTCCGTCCGTTCACTTATCATTGTGAAAATATCGATGATCGATACGTCGCACAGTGGATCGAGCCAACAGGAGAGGTCGGACAAAATTTGGAAATTTTAAACGCTTATAACTCCGTTTATACAAAAATTTGAGGTTCTGAAAGTGGTTTCATCGGCCTCCTCGTCAAATTTTCTTCTGAAAACATCCCTTGAAATTTAAAATGTGACGAGATAAACATCAAAATTTACAGTTTCAGTCAAAAATTTCATGTCCGACCTCTCTAATTGACTCGGTCCACCGGGGGTCGGTTTACGGCATGCCAAAATCCCAACGCGATCCTTTCCATCTACCTATCCTACTGAGTTATCGAAGACAACAGTAACGTCCAAATTTTCGGAAGTAAGTTTATACTTCAAAATTTGACCGGTCTGATTTAAATGAGCCGTCAATAATTCTTCTAAAATAGGAAAATCCGTCTTAGAGACAGTTACAAGAGAGTAGTAAAAGCAGAGCAATTGACTTAATTTCAGACAGAGCAGCAGTGACTCCACATTATTGACGAACCTATGCTCACTGCTGTCTTGAGTAAAATGGTATCCTCGTCTGCTAATTGATCACCTGAAAATTTGTTTCATATGTGCGTTCACAGCGTAGACATGGGAACAGCCATTTTAATATACATTCAAAACTAAAATCCGTCGATTTTTAATCATCCGAACGATTTCAAAAATCACTGAAAAAGGGTGTTCGGTTCAAGCATGATGATTCTTGAATTTGCCGCCAAGAATTATTTTTATCTTGATTTAAGCTGAACTTTTCTTGATAGAAGAAAAATAATGCTTCGGCTAAGCAAAAAAGTAGTTTATATTAAGCAGCAAAAGTCTCGATTTAAGAAAAAATACTTCTCGGCGGCAAATTTAAGATTCTTTTTTTTCAGTGAGTCTTTTGAATGATTATTCAAAACTTTACGAGGAATTCAGGATTCGTCGGAAAACATTTTCCACTACGGGGTCCGCTTATTGGGTCCACTTTCTCGAAAATTCAGCAGTCATTACTCTCTTCGATGATGTGGTTAAAACATCAATGATCAAAAAAGTGATTAACGGCTGAGATCTAGTTGCGATGCACTGGCAGCAATTAAATGATCAGCGTAAGACAAACTGCCAAGTGCCAACAACCGCCCAGTGTTGAAGGGGCTCTTGGAGAAATGCGCCTACCTTTAATTGGCATGAACGGTGCAGTCCAAAGAAGTGGCAACGCTGTGCGAGCCTCAGGCTGAATAATTGGACTCGCGGGTATTTCGAGCAAGGACGGTACGCTGCCGTGCTAAGAAAGAACGCCGTATGAACCTTCAGACGTTGCCAAATTTCTTCCGGTAAAATATGAATTTTCACGGAAACTGTTGGATGTTTTTCTTCCAATTTTTCAAACAATTCTGTACACACTGTAGTCTAAAATATCTCAAAATATCAAGGATAACTACGCACAATTTTCCCGAGAACTGCATTTTTTATCCGGAGAAATTTGGCAACTCTGGAATGTACATACGGCGTTCTTCCTTAGCACGGCAGTACGGTGCGAAAGTTATTTCAGTTCACTGTTTGCATTTTGACGCTCGCGCTGACCATTTTTCCTCCTTTGCGACGGCATTTTCTAGCCACCGACAACCAAGCCCGTCAACCAGGCCCATGCAATTAGTGCCTATATGCCGTGATAGCGAAGAGAACCGTAAGTCCAAAAGTAAAGTTTTGAGAAAATGGGCTCAGTGCCTTCGGAGCAGAATATTTTAGTGAAGGAAGCCTCCACTTTTCACCACCTTTCGCCCGAAAAATTCTTGAAAATCGTTTGGTTGATTGAAAATTGACCGATTTCATTTAAGTTATATTGAAAGGATATTATTCATTTTCATCTTAATGTAAGTGTAAGGTAAGACAGCCGTAAGTGCTATTCTCTGCAAGCTTTCGTGGTTGCGTTTTGGACACACAAGTGCACATTATCAGGTTAGGAGTTGGCAGAAAAGGGCGGCATTTCACTTGAAAGCATTGTTTTCATTGCATCCTAGGAGAAACAATGCTCCTTACGACTGTTTTGCCTGAGACCACGTCATTTTTTGTGCATTTACGGCTTTTTAATTTGTCTCATTTTCGTACAAATAAGACAAATTTTGCTGTTTTAACTATTTCAGGGATTTCATCTAAAAGAGATGAAGACAGATGTTGAAATCGAGTCGAATTAAAAATTTGGACAGTTGCGTCTCTCTTCGCTATCACGGCAGACATGCCTTTAAGTTTTCGTGACTTTTACTCTGAATATCACCTTATAAAATTCAGGAATTATACGTTGCTTCATAAATTAAATTTACCCATAGTCTACAATTATTTTTGGATCGACCCACATTTCGTGAACACTTCGCAATGTACCTAGCTTCCGGCATTTGCCCGTAATACATTAGTTATTATTTAATAACAGTGTGTCTGCTTTTGGGTCTTTTATATAGATTTTAATCCTTTTCATTTATTTCTTTGTTGCAGGAATAGCTGAGACCCATGTTCCTGTCGTAGCTAGTTTCTATTACTTTTATCAATTAACCCCGTGCGACCACATCAGGTCGTGTACGGTTAGGTAAGGAACATTTCCATAGCATTTTCACTTAGTTTCTACCCCTTTACATGTTACGTATATGGACGTATTTGTGTTGAAAGATGCTATGTGCATGGGGTTTGCGTGTAACTAACAATTAGTTCATTAGCCTATATACGGTCATATAGGCGATGCTTGTGCCAGATCTCGACGGACGAGGCATTAGATTGTTTGGCTGGAATGTTGTCACGGTCATAAAACATTTTAAACAGCTATAGCACTACAAATTTCCTGTAGAGATGTGCTAATAATGTAATTTTTTTCGAGCTTGCGTTTTAGAGAGGAGGAGAGTGCACTTTTAGGTCTTTGGAATTCTTCCGAATTTTTTCGGACGATATACTCCCAAGTGAGTTGCATATTTTTGCCTCCACTCAACGCGAATCGCCGGGAGAGCGAGGGCTGCGTCCAAAATAATCCCTTTCGATGCGGGCACGATTCCCGTTGAGCGGTCGTGCTTTGGTAACGGTTGCACGGACCAATTACGGCAGAGTACACGGGTAAATAATAGTTCCAGGATCGTTGCTGCATTGGGAGGGATGTTTTTGGTCACCATCTTGGCTCGACGATGCTTGTTCACTTAGGAGCTTAAAAAAAAAAAAAAAAAAAAAAAAAAAAAAAAAAAAAAAAAAAAAAAAAAAATTGCGTGGAAACTCTCCATTGGAGATATGCATTTCTGGATTTAGTTGATGATGAGGTTGTTTGGGGCTGTCACGAAAGTGACGAGTCACCGGTGACGTCAGGAGTAATGGTCAAGTGCATAATGGCGACGGCGAGTATGCAGAGTGGCGGTCTGGTCGGCGAGGAACGGGGCAGGTGGGCTGCGGGCAAGCCGCAGGGGTATTCATAATCGAGACATGATCGAATTGATAACGCAACCTGGGTGACTCCGCTGCCCGCTGTCGTCCAAGGTCCGACGGCCAGAAAGTAGGCCATACGAGTGCTGTTGCTCCGCCAAGCTGACCACTCCGCTCCCCGCACCCTCCTTCTTCGCGAGGAACTTTAAGTTCACGCCGCCACCGGCTCCTCGGCCACTCGATTCGCGTCCTGTGATTTAAGTACCTCCCGCCTCCTTATTGCAATCAATAGACACAGCTATAGACAAAGAAGACGAGGAGGAAGTGAAGTCATCCTGCGAGCTGATTCTTCAAATTGATAGGAAAGCTATTTACAGGCATAAATACCGACATAAGGAGTATGGAGCGATTCTATTGGTTGAAATAGGTGGTTATTATAGACCGAGGGAGAAAATTATGGAGAAACTAGAGTCTCCAGTGGGTTGCCTTTAGTTAGTCTATATTACTCCCTCCTTTGTCCATTGTAACCGCTCTATTACACCAAAAGGATCGCTCTATTTTCGGTGCGTCGTCTTTGCCTATAGCTTTGTCTATCGATTTCAATAATCAGCCCGCTGCTTGGTGGAACAGATGAATGAAACAGGGCCAAATTAAGTGGGTGGCCAAATGGGCCGCGGCCCATGGCGGCAAAATGTAGGGGGCGGCAAGTTTTGCAATCTTTTTGAATGTAGGTATCAAAAAAAGAGAGAAAAAAATCCGATTCAGAAAATAAACTACAAACGAGAAAAGGCGACAAAATCTGTCATTTCCTAGAAGTAAAAGTATAGTAATTTCTAATTTTGTCGTCTTTTGATGATACAAGGGACAGCACCTTTAATTAGTCGGGTTAAGAGAGAAACCAAACACGCAATTTGACCTGAAGCGGAGCGGCGCAGAGAGCAATGATGACGAGGACTGAGATGAAAAAGAGAAGCCTTCGGCGTAACGGTCGACGTGAAACGCATAGCGCCTACAAGACTGCACGAATACTTCACGCATTGCGTCAAACACGCTGCGGTTAGCAGCAGTCGAGTCGGCTTGAAACGCATAGCGCCTACAAGATTGCATGAATACTTCACTCATTGCGTAAAACAGTGCCGAGCGCAGCGGTCGGCACGGCGTGAAACGCATAGCGCATGAATACTTCACGCATTGCGCCGAACACAGTGCGGTGGGCGCGGCGGCGGAAGTTAAAATTATTAAACCACATTTATGTTTGTTCTTTCATAATTTTTTCGTTCGTTTGTTATGAAGGGAAGGCCTTGTCCAAACAGGGATGGGTTTGCGGAACTTAACTTTCGCTCCAAGTTTCGTGAACTTTTATAGTGTTGGCAGGACTTTCACAAAAAATGTGCCCAACACGAGTTAACGCGTCTTATGCACCCCTCCTCTTCCGGCATGTTCTCTTGATGGTTTGTATCGATGTTTCAAAACGAATGAGAAGGGGGCGGAAAAATGCAGGCGGCCCATGGGCGGCAAGTAGGTAAATCCGGCCCTGGAATGAAACTAATAGGAAACGGGTAAGCCTTGCTTCCCTCGGTCAAAAATAAGGGGCGAATAGGCTACCATGAGACCCTGAAGTTTGTCGATCAATCGGGTATATAAAGCAATCTGGTAGTAAAAGAATGTAGATGACATGTATTTCCTTAAATAGGCACTCTTTTATTTAGGTGCTACAACTAACGACAACTCCCGTGCANTTAAGTGGGTGGCCAAATGGGCCGCGGCCCGTGGCGGCAAAATGTAGGGGGCGGCAAATTTTGCAATCTTTTTGAATGTAGGTATCAAAAAGAGAGAGAAAAAAATCTGATTCAGAAAATAAACTACTAACGAGAAAAGGCGACAAAATCTCTCATTTCCTAGAAGTAAAAGTATAGTAATTTCTAATTTTGTCGTCTTTTGACGATACAAGGGACAGCACCTTCAATTAGTCGGGTTAAAAGAGAAACCAAACACGCAATTTGACCTGAGGCGGAGCGGCGCAGAGAGCCATGATGACGAGGACTGATATGAAAAAGAGAAGCCCTCGGCGTTACGGTCGACATGAAACGCATAGCGCCTACAAGACTTCACGAATACTTCACGCATTGCGTCAAACACGCTGCGGTTAGCAGCAGTCGAGTCGGCTTGAAACGCATAGCGCCTACAAGACTGCATGAATACTTCACGCATTGCGTAAAACAGTGCCGAGCGCAGCGGTCGGCGCGGCGTGAAACGCATAGCGCATGAATACTTCACGCATTGCGCCGAACACAGTGCGGTGGGCGCGGCGGCGGAAGTTAAAATTATTAAACCACATTTATGTTTGTTCTTTCATAATTTTTTCGTTCTTTTGTTATGAAGGGAACGCCTCGTCCAAACAGGGATGGGTTTGCGGAACTTAACTTTCGCTCCAAGTTTCGTGAACTTTTATTAGTGTTGACAGGACTTTCACAAAAAATGTGCCCAACACGAGTTAACGCGTCTTATGCACCCCTCCTCTTCCGGTATGTTCTCTTGATGGTTTGTATCGATGTTTCAAAACGAATGAGAAGGGGGCGGAAAAATGCAGGCGGCCCATGGGCGGCAAGTAGGTAAATCCGGCCCTGGAATGAAACTAATAGGAAACGGGTAAGCCTTGCTTCCCTCGGTCAAAAATAAGGAGCGAATAGGCTACCATGAGATCCTGAAGTTTGTCGATCAATCGGATAAAGCAATCTGGTAGTAAAAGGATGTAGATGACATGTATTTCCTTAAATAGGCACTCTTTTATTTAGGTGCTACAACTAACGACAACTCCCCTGCATTAATGAGGAGGTGAAGGATGCGGAAATCCCTTCAATGGGCCTGTTGAATGCAAGAGATACAGCCGCGCGAAGACTTTTTAGAGGTTAAATGGCACGAAAATTACGATGGTCACATTAAAAAAGTCTGAAATACACTCCTTACTGCGCAATTTGCGTTGTTAGGAACGCGCTTTTTCAAATTTCCCGCGTCTGGGGGCAGTTTTCTAATCACCGGAAACGAGCAAACGGCGGGCTCGGTGATTTCCGGAAGATGTCGAGTCGTTGTTGTTGTTGTTGTTGTTATTTTTTCCTTCAGTTTGTTTACAAACCCAACGTGATCTCTTATAGTGGTCCATATACGCTTTACCTATGCAGTAACCAAATCGATCAACTTTTAAATATCCAACGCAATCCTTCTACATTTCATTTCACGATATCACGAGCTCCGATTTTTAGGTTATGTTGTCAGTTTTAGTTGACCGGAAATAGCCGCGAGTTGCCGTTAATTGTTTCCGTTAGAAAACTGCCCCCAGACGCGGGAAATTTGAAAAAGCGCGTTCCTGACAACGCAAATTACGCAGTAAGGAGTGTATTTCAGACTCTTTTAATGTGAGCATTGTAATTTTCGTGTCATTTAACCACTAAAAAGTCTATTCGCACGGCTGTATCTCTTGCATGCAACAGTCCCATTGTTGAATATGCAACACTCGCATCCGTGAAACACGAATGGTTGCATCAAAGCGCCACAGAATGTGATATTCGTTGTTTGAGATACTAACCGATTTAATGGCGTTTGATATTCTGGTCTCGCGTCTTCGACTGGCAAAACTCTTCTTTTGTCTGTGCTCTGTCACTCGGGTCTTTCTCCTTACTGCAAAGTTTGTAAAATATACATCTAAGCATTGGTTTAGATACGTCAATTTAAACTTCGCGGCATGCACGGTCACCTCCCCCATCGACCGTCACAATTAAAAAGATAACGCCATGTCATAATGGTGTTAACTGTGAGAGCTTTGTCAAGCCAGGGCGTTGATTCAGAGTTAGTGGACCCTCTGTCCCCCTTTGCGCACTGGATTCTTTAAGGGAACTTTTGACTCAGGTTTAAAAGCAAGCTGATAAAATAGTGCTGGGTCCACACTATTTAGTGGAGAACACAAAAGTTCAAAAATTCCAATTAAAGTCAACATTTTTGAGCTCTAATAAGTACCAGTAGGTATAAGACTGAAAGGAGAGAGTGTTCAGCTCTAGACCTCAACAATTTTGACTCTAATTGATTGAAATTTCTGAACTTATCGGCCTTGTATTCCCCGCAAAATAGTGCAGACGCGGCAATATCTTACCACCTTGTCACATTCAGTTCAGGGCTTCGTTTCTTAGTGTTTTT